AGACACACTTTGCCCTTGGTTGGTGTTAAAAAAAAAAAAAAAAAAAAAAAAGCAGATACCCCGCTACTCCTATGAATGTTCTGCTGTCACGGTCTGTTTGACAGTGTTGACCTGCTTAGCTGGACGACGCTTGCTGGTGGCGGCCCATGGCCTTTTCCATGAGCACAGGGAAGGGACCCTCAGGAAGCTGAGCCACAAGATTGGATTCATTGTTATGGGGAATTAGAGGTGACTGTCCCTCTAATGGATATGCCTTATGAATTAGAACACCGTTGTTAAGGCAGAATCCTTTCCATGCTCAGCTCTTGTACTCCTAGGAGAGGGCGGTGGACTTATTTCCAGGGTCTATAGATTGAAGCCCCAGGCAACCAGCTGCAACTAAAAAAATCTTTGAAGGTCTGTGCTTTAACTTAAGGGATTGTGATTCTACTCTATAATTAGTTGGACTCTCCAAGAAAATGTATCACTTTTATTTTGGGGAGTTGGGTGCCCCCGAACACAGTATTTTGAACTGATGGAAGGGGGTTGTGAAATCAGCTTAATGGATGTCACCTTTAAAAAAGAAAATAGAAGAGAATTAAGAAAATAGTAAGAGAAAGTATTATCTCATGGCATTTTTGCTCACAATAAGGGTAAGTATGGTCTCATGACATTTGTGTGTGTGTTAGATCATTATAGGTATGCTATATACATATATGTCGTGTACTGAGTTCCATTGTAAAATGTATTTCTTACTGTGGTTGCCTTGGAAAGTTTGAAAGCACTGCCCTAATCTGGGAATATTAGGAGTCCAGATGGAGAAGTGCAGTTGTAAAGGACAAATTCATTCAAGAACTGTTCCAACTGTCTTAAAGTCCTTTAAAGTCTGTCAGGCCCAGGAGTCTTGAAGATTTTTTTATTCCAGAGTGGGGAGAATTTGGTTTAATAAGTAATTCAGATCATCCTATATAATAGAGAGGGATATGCAAATTGTCCGTCACACCGTAACACTGTGCCCATAGCTATTTCCCGTGAACACAGGGAAGGGACCCTCAGGAAGCTGAGCCACAAGATTGGATTCGTTGTTATGGGGGATTAGAGGTGACATAGACGCCGAGTTCCCATAATGAGCCTTAACAAACAATAAGCAGGACCTGATGCCAGGCAACCTAAGGCCTTACCCCCACCCTGTGGAGCTTGATGAGGGTGGGGCCTGCCGGGTCTGGATCTAGCCCAGTGTGGGTGGGGCTGGCTGGGTCTGTGTCTCCAGTGATATCAAGGGGCATGTGGGTGGGCGAGGACTTGACTCTGTTTCCCCTGGAGCACCCCAGACTCTCACAGGAGGAACGATTTTCCTGTATATTTTACTAATTTTCTTTCATGTCTGACACTTCTATTATAGAGAAAGGGAAAAGAGCAATATTAAAATATTTCCTCTAATTCCCTTTTAATTTGCATGAATGTCATGCACTGGGCCACTAGTCTAAAATAATTGAGATTGATGGTATGAATTCACATAGAAATAACTGACTGCAGCCACACATTTTAGGAACACGGGTGGGAGAAATGGACTTGCTTCTAAATTCAAAGTCCTTCTCCCGATTGAGATCACTTGTTAACCTTTGAGTAAATCCTAGCCATCATACTATTTCATTCATAAATATTTCAATATTTTCTCTGAAAGATGGTGCTTTTAAAAAAATCTAACATGCCATTTTTATATCATAAACAAGACCACTGAAAGTCCAGCTCAGCCTGGCAAGCTGCAAGGGAGGCACCGCTGACTTCCTTCTGAAGAGAGCCGTGTGGAAAGGGAGGGAGTGACTTCCCAGTGGAGGAGCCTGACAAACACTCCCTGAGCAGGTGATAACCTCACCACCACCCAGACTATTCAAATGTCTCTTAATGCTTCATAATTATTTTAACAGTTTGTTCAAATCAGAACCCACATAAAATCCATATATGAATTGGTTTCTCTATCTCTTGTCTTTTACTTTTTAAACGTTTTTAGAACTGTTTCAGATGTACCAAAACATGGTGAGGACAATGTAGTGGTTCCTACATCCTGCACCCAGTTTCCCCTTGTTAACATCTTACAGCATTGTGGTCCATTTGTCAGAATTAACAAATACTGATACATTATTGTTATTATTTTGGTTAATCCTCACCTGAGGATATTTTCCCATTTGTTTTTAGAAAGAGTGGAGGAGGATTGGGGGGCAGGGAGAGAGATAGAGTGAAACACCAATGTGACCAGGGTCAGGGATCGAGCCTGCCACCTTGACCGGAATCGAACCCAGGACTCTTTTGTCCACAGGCCACTGCTCTATCCACTGAGCCAAACCAGCTAGGGTGGATACATTATTATTCACCAAAGCTTATATTTCCTCGGTTGTTCACTGCTGTCCTTTTTCTGTTCCAGAATTACCGCTTTACATTTAGTCACAGGCTTCTCCTGGGTGTAATCATTTCTGTTTTCTTGTTTTTGGTGACTCTGCAGTTTTGAGGAGTGCGGGTAGGTGTTTTACAGATTGCTCCTAAAGAGGATTCGCCTGAAGCTGTTCTCAGGTGTAGTGTGGGAGTGTGGGTCTCCGAGAGGAAGACCACAGAAGCAAAGCGCCGTTCTGGTCACATCCTGCCGAGGGAACGGATTCCCAGCGTGATTTGTCTGTTGTGTTGACTTATCACCTGCTCAGGGAGTGTTTGTCAGGCTCCTCCACTGGGAAGTCACTCCCTCCCTTTCCACACGGCTCTCTTCAGAAGGAAGTCAGCGGTGCCTCCCTTGCAGCCTGCCAGGCTGAGCTGGACTAGTTCCTTCTGCAGAACAACTTCCTGAAGTCTCCTGGCAACACATTTACAATTGATGTATTTGACAACTGTCTTTATGTCTCCACTTTTATTTTGGAATAATTATAGATTAGCAGGTACTTCAAGAAATAATACATCTTAACTGTATTTAGTTAAGATGTCCTGTTCTCTGGATGGTGACATCTTAACTAAATACAGTTCAGTATCAAAACTGAGAGACTGAAAGTGGTACAACCCACAGAACTTGTTCAGATTTACATTGCATTCGTGTGTGTGTGTGTGTGTGTGTGTGTGTGTGTAAAACTCTGTTCAATTTTATAACATGTGATTTGTGTAACCAAAACTACAAACTGTTCCATCACCAAAAAGATATCCCTCATGCTACCTTTTTATTTTTCATTTTCCGAAAATTTTTTGGCTGGGTATAGAATTTTAGGTAGACAGTGGTGTGTATGTATGTGTGTGCATGTTTGCCCCTGCCCTGTCTGCTTTGATTTTCTTTTTATATTTGGTGTCCAGAGTTTGACTATGATGTGTTTGTAAATTTCTTGGCTTTTATGCTGTTTAAGATTTACTTTCTTTGATTTTTGATCCAATTTGGGAAACTCCCCAACCAATATTTCTATATTTTTTTTCTACCCCATATTCTTTCTCCTCTCATTCTGGGACCCAATTTCACATATACCGGACAGATTGATAGCTTTCTACCAAAAGAGCCCTTATTCTTGTCTGTTCTCCTCTTTCTAGTTTAATGAGTTTTAAAAATCTGGGTAACAAAAAAAAAAAAAAATCTGGTAACGTATTTTTTAGTTCTAGGGTTTCTATTTGCTTTTTTATTTATTTATTTTTTTTTATAGTTTCCATCTCTCTCCTGAAATTCTCCCAACATACCCAGGTTTTTTTCTAGGTACTTTAACATTAAAAAAATTCTTTATTGTTGAAAGTATTACATATATCTCCCTTTTCCCCCACTGACCTCTTCCTACCCGCTCAGGCCCTCACCCCCTAGTGTCTGTGTCCATTGATCATGCTTATCTGCATGCATACATATAGGGTGTCCCTAAAAATGTCTTTTGGTTGATCTCTTAACACCCCTCTCCCACCCTCCTCTACCTTCCCTCTGAGGTTTGAAGATATGTTCAATGCTTCTATGTCTCTGGGTTTATTTTTATCAGTTAATGTTGTTCATTATATTCCACAAATGTGTGAGATCATGTGATACTCATCTTTCTCAGACTGGCTTATTTCACTTAGCATAATGCTCTCCATGTCCATCCATGCTGTTGGGAATGGTAAGAGTTCTTTCTTTTTTATAGCAGCATAGTATTCCATTGTGTAGATGTACCATAGTTTTCCAATCCACTCATCTGCTGATGAGCACTTCAGCTGATTCCAAATTTTAGCTATTATAAATTGTGCTGCTATGAACATAGGGGGCATATATTCTGGTTAATGTTTTGGATTTCTTGGGAAATATTCCTAGAAGTGGGATTACTGGGTCAAATGGGAGTTCCATTTTTAATTTTTTTTTTTACGTAACTCCACAGTGGATGCACCAATCTGCATTCCCACCAGCAATGTACGAGGGTTCCTTTTTCTCCATATCCTTGACAGCACTTGTCTATTGTTGATGGTTCTTTATTTTTAATTTAATTTTTTAAATATATTTTATTGATTTTGTATAAGAGGAAGGGAGATAGAGAGTTAGAAACATCGATGAGTTATCGATCAGCTACCTCTTGCACACCCCCTACTGGGGATATGCCCGCAACCAAGGTACATGCCCTTGACCGGAATCGAACCCGGGACCTTTCAGTCCCCAAGCCAATGCCCTATCCATTGAGCCAAACCGGTTTCGGCTGTTGATGGTTCTTTAATATTCTTACTATTTTTAAATCATTTATTAGTTTGCTTTTATTGGAGAGACGTGAAGTTGAAGAATCAAATCACTAAGGGTTATTTTCGGATGATGGAAAAGGATATGAGAATTCACATTCTCATATCCTTTTTGGGGAGAAATATTTAAGTGGAAAACTGCATATATAATTTTAATTAATATGCTGAAATACATGGTATTTTAAAGAACTCCTTTAACAAAATGGTAGTTAAGATTTATTTTAATTTTTCAATCTGAAAAACAACAAACAAACCCCAAAACAAAAAAAACAAACTATACTTATATGTACAATGTCAACATTCTCAGAGCACTTACACTAGGAAACTGTGTTTCTCTTCAAACGTAGGACAGCACTGCACGTGCTGCAATAACATTTACAAATACAGTCGCGCCAGCAGTCACCCAGACAGCAGGATTCACATTCAATGCACGAGAGAACGGATGTCTGCTGGCGCTCTGCCTCCTCCCCGGCCTGCCTGCAGCCCAGAGCAGGTCTCCACGCGCTTTGAGCTTCGGCTTGTAAAACCCACGGTGGCTGTTTTAGAAGTCCCATCCCTTCCAGACCATAACTTAAATAATGAGAAATTTGCCATTTAAAAATAACAACCCATGATTTATCACTGGGCATGGTGACATTTACTCACCAAAAGGGGTGTAAAAAAATCGTATGAAAGGGAAAAATAAATACAGTAGTCTTGTTTACGCTACGTTTCAGAACACTTAAACATAAACGTGCCCTTAAAGTTTTAGAAAGTAGTTATTTCTGATCAATTACAACTGCTGGGCAAATCTAACGAAGACAAACGGATTTGGTAAAGGTTCAGAGACTCACATGCCAGCAGGCATTTCCCCACGCCCCAGCCGGCGGCCACGAGCGACGTGGCGACCTGCCCTGTGTCCGACAGAAGGCACTGGGTCTGAGGATGCCGCACTCTCGCCTTAGGTCACACTTCCTGTTCCTTACAGCGAACTCTTTGAAATAAAAAAAAATAATAAACATTTCGGGACACAGTGCACTTTAATGACATACAGCACTTGAAACCTCTCAGACAGAGGTCTGAAAATAGCCTTTTAATGCAAGCCTGACCCTTCAAAACCATATAGTCCTCTTCTTTTATGCTTAGTTTCAACATCACTGGAAAAAATACCCATCACTAAACCCTGACAGACATTCTTGGCCCTCTTCCTCTCTCCCATGGCATCAGTGTTCATGAGGCAAAGCGTGACCCAGGATCTCAGTTCAAGTTCTACAAGGGCTCCATTCACAAAAGTCATTCAGTTTTCGGCTCCTTTTGTTTGACACCTGTCAGCAGAGGGAAAACGGAAGTTTCAGAGAGATATCAAAACCCCTGACAGCACGTGCTCCTCCACATCGGGGGTCCCTGTGTCCTGGGGCAGGGGCTGAGCAGGGGCTCCAGGTTCCCACCCCCACCCACCATGACTGCAGCATGCTTTCAATCGGTATCACATATTGTAATTTTAAATACGCGAGATTTAATTCAGAAAAGGATTCTGTTGATAAAGAATTGTAAAATAAATGTGTATTTACATTTTTGTGAAGATGCAAAGTGCTTCCATTGTACATATAAAAGTGTCTTAAGAAAAGCATCATACACATTTAAGGATAATTGCACATAACACCAACTTGATCTGGCCAGGATATTTCAAAATGGGCTGGGAGAGTTATTGTTTTTCTCATCACAGCAGCTTCTTTCCCATTTTCTCAGCAGACACTCAACTTTTAAAAGAGATTAACAATCTATAAAAAAAATAAGGGGCAATCCTGGCCAGTGTGACTCAATCCTGGCCAGTGGTTAGAGCGTCGGCCCTCACACTGAAGGGTTGCAGGTTCAATTCTCAGTCAAGGGTATGTACATGGGTCGCAGGTTCCATCCCTAGCCCCGGGGGGAAGGAGGGAGTGTGTGGGAAGCAACCAATGTATACTCTTTCTCATACCTCTCTCCCTGGCTCCCTTCTACTCTCTAAAAATCAATGAAAAAAAAAAAATACCCTTGGGATGAGGATTAACAAGAAATAAGGGACTAAAAATTTGTGGCTAATGCCCTCTGACTGCTGACTCATTGGTTGTATGTGTAGATATTAGGTTCATTTGGGGAGTCTGAGTTAGTAAGTTTGACAATGAACTAGCTTTCTGAACGAGGGACAATGTCATTATATTGTATCAGAATCCTTCCGGGGGAATTGTGCCTTTTATCGGTGGAAAGAATAACTCTGGCACCTTAGTCACATAATAGTAGATGCTGTAAAAGGACACCTTGATTATCCCATAGACATCCACCCAACAGCGCTCTCCTGACATCCACCCAACAGCGCTCTCCTGCGGATGGCACCTTATTGTGCACAAGCAGCCTGCACTCACGGTTTTGGTTTCAACTCCAAGTACCTCGGAAGGGCCCGAGGCCTGTACCAGCCTGCTCATTTCTAGTTGAAGGAACAGGGGCCCGATGAGGTACGCAGCTAGCACACCCACAGCTCTCAGGGACCCCCAGGGCGAGGGTCACCAGCCGGACCCCGGGATGCTTATTCCAGGCCGCTCCTGCACGGCAGCATCAGGCCCGGCTGCTGACCTGTGCGGAGCCCCCGAGTTCTGACAGGTCTGCTTCCAGTGTTCACGTGTCGTTATGGGAACACAGAGCCTTCTCCTAAGCAGAAAGCATTATCCACTCTCTATTATAAAGACTTCTAATTCGGCTCCCCGTCTTTATCACACTCCTCTGGGGTAACAGACGTTTCCAATTCCTGCTGCATTAATGACTTAAGAGTTTTAAATATCAAATCTGGATGGAAATGTAAACCCATCCAGCCCAATGGGCTCATGGTTCAAGACCTGAAGGCACAGAGAGGAGAAAGAACTGCACTGTTTACTCCGAGTTTGTGACACACAGTGAATGCTGGCTGCAGGGACAGCGAGAGCCTTCCTCTGCCCAGAGAGGGTGCCTGGCTGAGGCGCGGGTTCTGTGCCCACATGGGTCCTCTGCCCGCAGAGGAGCCTCTTCCTGAAGCGCAGGAAGGGCTGCTCGCTGTCTGTACATGTCATCCCTCTCTGGCTGGGTCCGCTCCCCACTGGATGCTGCCTCGGAGGCTGCCCACTGCCCACACGGCTGTGGCTCACGGTCAATGCTTGCAGCATTCCGCTGCCTGAACAGAACAAACCGGTCCATTCTTCTGCTCATGGATCCTGGCTTGTTTCCAGCTTTAGTTTAATGCTATGAACAATCTCACATTCATTTGTTCTTTTTAATCAACATTTCATGATTATAAAAAAGATTATCAGGAGTTTCATGTTCTCTAGCATCTGAAATTTTAAAGTGACCACACAGGCCCCATGTCTGGTTTCTGACTCGGGAGGTGTGGGCGGGGCCCTCGGTGCACATTTCTGACAAGCCTGGGTGCTGCTGCCGTCCTGGGCCCCATGTCCCTGCCCTACTGGAACACAACCTGGGGCTCCCGCTCAGGGATGTGATGCCCTCTCATGGGCGGCGGGGACTCCTGAAGGGCGGCATCTTTAGGTGAGAGGTCAACTGTTAAAACTTGTCTCAGCTAGTTTGATTTCTGAATGAAAGAAAAAATCAATACTGTAACGTAGTACACACACTTGAATGCTTAACTTCTAAGAGTTCAAAGTGCATGTCACTTGTCTCCTGTCTTAGCATTCTTGGACTTGGTCTGTGTGGCCTCAGGCTGGGTTGTTTGTATTTTTAAAAAAATATATATTTTTACTAGAGGCCTGGTGCACAAATTTGTGCACAGGTGGGGTCCCTCAGCCTGGTCAGTGATCAGGGCAATTGGGAGGTGGGATGGGGCTGGCCAGCCAGGGGCAGGGACTGTGGGAGGTTGGCCAGCCATTGTGGGGAGGGACTGTATGAGATTGGCTGGCCATGGGAAGATGGCTGTGAGAGTGCACTGACCACCAGCAGGCAGCTCCTGCATTGAGCATCTGCCCTCTAGTGATCAGTGGGCATCATAGCAATTGCTCAACCGGTCACTTAGGTGCATATATATATATATATATATATATATATATATATATATATGGATTTCAGAGAGAAAGGGGGGAGAGATAGAAACATCAATGATGAGAATCATTGACTGGCTGCATGACCCCTACTGGGGATTGAGCCTACAACCCAGGCATGTGCCCTTGACCGAAATTGAACCTGGGACCCTTCAGTCCACAGGCCAATGCTCTATCCACTGAGCCAAACCAGTTAGGGCTGGGTTGCTTGTATTTACTGGGGGGTAGAGGGAGGAAGAGGGGGAAGAAAAGGAAAGGGGCTGGTGGATTTAGGACCCCTAACAGTGTCCCCACTATTAAACGTGTGAAACAGAAGGAACATGAACTCTTTTCCAAGGCTGCATCTCCTTACATGCTCCTGGCTGGGATCCAGGGGGGCAGGCTCAGAGCGAATCTGGCAAAAATGAGTTTGGTAGCTAATGTAATTTCCATGCACTATTTGTGGAAAAAAGTCTGTTATGTCTTTTGTTTTATATACTCAACACACTAGAAAGTCATTTTGTTTTTGAAGTGTAGATGGTGTCAACAGTTGGAACCCAAAGAATTTCCCTCCTCTTTTCCAGTTAGCATTCCTAAAAGGAAAGCAAAACTGAAGGGTCTTAAGCTTTTTAATGGAAAAGTTTCTGATGAACTTGACAATGAATCCTCAATTATTCGGGCATTGCCGGGCAGAGAGGGGCCGAGTCAGGATGCTTTCTACCCTTTTCTCTTACTTAAGTAGAAGAATAAACTTCACAACCACAAGGGAAATGAAATGGTTTACAGAGGAACGCACAGAAGCCACCCCCGCAGGAGGAGCAGCCCTGCCTCTGTCCTAGGAGGGGAAGGTCAGAAACTGGCCTTAGTACCTGGCGGGGTGAGGATGAGGGCTTGCAGAATATCTGACAGGGAAATAATACCCACAATGCTATCTGCTTCATTCACTACCACCAGCCGATGGACCTGCAAACAAGAGAAAAGTAGGCCAAGTTTAAATAAAAATGCTTTAAAATGGAAAATAGGAGAAAAATATCTTCCAGATACTCTACAGTGAATCCATCCCACAAATCACAGAAGGTAACAGCTACAGAAGCACGGAAGATCTTTGGCTCTGCAGTTCAAATGTAATGCTGATCTGTTTGACTACTTTTTTTTTTTTTAAAATTTAAGATTTTAAATTTTTATTGGTTTTTAGAGAGGAAAAGGGAAAAATATCAATATGAGAGCATAACATCCATCGTCTGCCTCCTGCGTACCCTCTATCAGGGATCGAGCCTGAAACTTGGGCATGTGCCCTCACCGGGACTCCAATCAGCAACCTTTTGGTGCATGGATGACATCCAAGCAACTGAGCCACACTGGCCAGGACTGCCTGACCACTTAAAAAATATTTTTAAAATTGATTTCAGAGAGGAAATGAGAAGGAGAGAGATATAAACATCAATGATGAGAGAGAATCATTGACTGGCTGCCTTCTGCATGCCCCACTGGATTGAACCTACAACCCAGGCATGTGCCCTTAACTAGAATTGAACCCAGGACTCTTCAGTCCGCAGGCCGATGCTCTATCTACTGAGCCAAACCGACTAAGAGTAAGCCTGACTACTTTTAAGAACAATTTAGCCAGCCATGTCCAGCTGAGTTTTCAAATTTCACAATGTTAGTATATGGAAGATACAACTCAAAACATGGAAGTACAATGTAGCTATCATATAGTTTTTATTTTTAAAAGTATCTCAGTTTCTAACAACTATCAGATTCTGTTTCACGTGGGGAAAAAGTCCAAATGAGCACTAATAGGCCACTGCCCTGGGATTGTCTTTTATTTATTTTTATCACGTCTCTATGAAGTTTATATATTAATATTCAGAGGATAAATGAACCAGTAAAGCAGGTTATAGTCATGTCTCCTTTTCCACTTGAAAGTCTTTTATAAACAAGTAGGTCATGTGCTGAGGTATTACTCTAGCGAAGCATCCTTAGAGCAGGAAAGGAAGGAGAACATCCCACGACTGATTCAAAAGCTTTAGAACTTACTAGAGACCTGCTTCTCCCTGTGGAACCATTGAGCGCCCTGGTCCCCGCGGTACAGAATGGGGATGCAGAAGGGAGATGGGAAGGGGGGAAGTTGTTTTTATATTTTGTCTTTTTTGTTGTTGTTGTTTACCCAGCCCTCTCCCCTTTGGCGACTATCAGCTTGTTCTCTATACCTATGGGTCTGTTTTCTGTATTCATTTTTTTTTTTTTTTTTTTTTTTAGAGTTGACATGTAAGTGAAATCATAGGGTATTTGTGTTTCTCTAACTTATTTCACTCAGCATAATACTCTCTGGGTTGTTAGATGGCAGGATTTCATTGCTTTTTATTGCAGCAAATAACATTCCATTGTATATATGTCCTTCTTTATCCATTCATCTATCTATGGACACTTAGGTTGCTTCTATATCTTGGCTGTTGTGAATAATGCTACAGACACATGGGATGCATATATCTTTTCAAATTAGTGTTTTCATGGAGTTGCTGCCTAATAAGGTAGCTCTATGTATACATTTCTGAGGAGCCTCCGTGCTGTTTTCTACAGTGGCTGTACCAGTTTACATTCCCATTCATAGTGCAAGGGGGTTCCCTTCTCTCCACATTCTTGCCAACACTCGTTGTTTATTGATTTATTGCTATCAGCCATTTTGACAGGTGTGACATGATATTTCATTGTGGTTTTAATTTGCATTGCCTTGTGGATTAATGATGTTGAGTTTCTCTTCATATGTCTGCTGTCCATATGTATGTCTCCTTTGGAGAGATGTCATTCCTGGTACTGCATAACCTTCTCCTAACAAACTACGATGAAGCTGAAAATTGGTTTTGTCCCCCACTGAGAAGTCACCTGGTGAAAGAAATTATTTTAATGAGGAAAGTCAGGATGGATAAATTGAGAAAACTGTTCAATTGCTTATTTTTCTCATTGACCTATTTCATATGACAATGAAATTTCTCTTGTTCACCAGATGATACTTTTTCTTCTACCGGATGTGACCGGTGCTCACAGAGACTAGGGACAGAGGGCAACCAGAGGGAACAGTCGCTGTGACCGCTGTGGAGGGAGTCCTTCCGGCTGCCTATCTATGTGGGTGATGTGTGCTACACAAAGAACCATGCTGCTATGCGGTACTGTAATGGCTTTTTCTCTTAGCAATGTCTTGTTAATGTTTTTCTATAGCATCAACATTCTTTAACATGAATTTTAATTGTTATAAAGGATTCCACTATTTGGATGCCCACTATGCTTATAAATAGGAAGGATGCCTTATCTACCGTGTTTCCCCCAAAATAAGACATCCTCTGAAAATAAGACCTAGCGCAACTTTGGGAGAAAAAATTAATATAAGACACTGTCTTATTTTTGGGAAAACAGGGTATTTCTGATTATGATCTTCAAAAGGCACACAATTCTGAGGACATTAATAAAAAAGTTAAGACATATTCCTAAGTTAATTACACCTCTTTGCAAAACAAGTAGTGATGGATGTTAAATCCAGGTAGAAAAAGGAAAGACTCTCAGGCGGTGTGGCTCAGTGGCTGAGTGTTGACCTATGAACCAGGAGGTAACAGTTCAATTCCCGGTCAGAGCACATTTCCAGGTTGAGGACTCAATCCCCAGTCGGGTGCATGCAGGAGGCAGCTGATCAATGATCCTCTCTCATCATTGATGATTCTCCTTCTCCCTTCATCTCTGAAATCAATAAAAATATATTTTTAAAAAAGAAAAGAGAAAGGGAAGACTTCATATTGAAATTCTAGTGACACACTGTCAGCCATGACAGTTGAGGAGGAGGGCAGGGCTGGTGGGCTCTGCAGGCTGGCTCCCAGGGTGGAGCACTGTGCCCCGCTTCTCACCAAGCTTTCAGAAAGCAAGCGAATCGCCTGTTATTAGCTGTAAAATAATCAGGTACTTTTATTCTTGGACTGCGCTCTTGCATTTATGATGATCATCAAAGCAGACTTATCGTCATGAATTGATTTTGCCTAATTAGGGGTTGTTCTAGAAGGAACATAGTGGCATCCTTCAGTCCTAGAGGGATGAACAGGAGAAAATTCCTCTTCCTGTCTATCAAGGAAGGAAAAAATGATTTTAGGAATGGGCACACTGAGTTAGATAAACGTCTAGTAAACTTGTCTCCTGGCATTCGGCACTCATGTCCATTATACTTGAAAATCCTACAGCGGTAAGTACAACGGGACATGAGTGCCGAGGGCCAGGAGACAGGGTTACTAGACATTTGCTATTGACCTAAATCCTGAGGAAGGGGTACTGAGGCGGGAGAGAGAAAATTACTTTAACTTGAAAAAATCAGAATACATTTTATCACTTACTTTGTTAAAACCGTATAATTGCACCTTTTTAACTTTTGTAAATACCCTAATGCAGTGGTCTGCAAACTGTGGCTCGTGAGCTGTGGTTTGCCGCTCTGTTGACTAATGAGTTTGCTGACCACCGCTAGACTAAATGTTACCGTGTAGTTGGAAGCTGTGAGGATTATCAGGCAATTGTTGCATATTGTGTGCAAAGAGGTAAATGGTAGTATACGACAGTGGTCGGCAAACTCAATCAACAGAGCAGCAAACCGCAGCTCAAGAGCTGCAGTTTGCAGACCATTGCCCTAATGGAACTTGAAGCTCTTAGGACCTTCTTCAAGTATGTATTTTTTAAACAGGGCAGTATCTTACCAGTTTACTTGATATCAGGACTTATAAATTTCATTCAATGAATATTTACAGATGGCCCACTGTGTGCTAGGTGACATGCTAGGTTCTGGAACAGGGGACTGTGTCCTCCTACTGAACTTGAAGGTGGCCCCATGGGGCGGTCCTGAGAGTCACAGTTCCTGAGGCGCAGCTCCTGTGACTTGGGGGCTGGGGGGCCGGGGAAAGGAATGTGGACCAGCCATCTCACCTCCGCTCTTACTATTCTATCCACAATGGTCTCCAATATTTCCAGCTTACTGCACTTGACCACGCCCTCGAAATACTGGGAACGGTGCTGAAGCGCCTGGGTCACGGTGATATCTAGGTTATTGTATGTTTTCTCAGCAGCAAGGTTCTGTAATAAAGTGTCAGAATGCATTACATGCTTTCATTTACGTGCACCCTGGTGACCGTGATTTCACGCACATCAATGCTATGCAGTACCAGCACACCAGCTAATGTGTCCTCCAGTGAGGATTAAAGCTTACGAGGCGGACCTTAATGTGGAGCAACTCTGTTAATCTGACCGCATGTCCTTCTGAAGCCAGCGCCCCCCCCCCTTCCCCCAGGCTCCTTCCTGGATAAATCGTCTTCTGAGAGCTGGCCTAACGGAGGGTGAAGAAGTGTTGAGGACCCTCCCTAGGAGCCCCTCGGGGTCTCATTAGCCTGAGCAGGCCCCCCTCAGTCACATTTCAATGAACAGATTTTCTCTCATGTTAAATAGAAGAGGATGAGACGAGGCCTTGGGGCAGCTGCAAAGGAGTGCTTAAGGCTGGGGTCACTATTACGGCCCCCAATGATGCGCACATGTGGCACCACCAAGTTTCAGCTCCCATTCTTAGGAGGAACGGAAGGCTCTAAGAAGTACATTTAAATGAATGAGGAAAAAAGCATCATGTGGAAAGACGGAGCACCAAATTCAACCTGGAATTAAACCAGGGATGCCAGTGGCCTTTACCTAACCATCTGGGCCATTTGCTGTCGTCTTCAGAATACGTGTTCCCAGTCATCCAACAACGGGATGCACGAGACTACAAGTCCATGTGCACCAAGTTTAGACATGTAACCGTTGTTGGAATAAATAACATCTCCACACAGAACAAAGCATTTAAAATATATACGCATGCTGCGGTGATAAAACTACACTATACATGTAATGAAAAGACAAAGATTTATAAAATACTACTAGTATATTATTCATTGCTAAACCAATGAATATTAAAAATACAATTCCTATAGGGCATCTATGGAATTCTCTGGTAAGATCTTTACACTCTAGAATGCTAGAAATCATTAAATGATGGAAAAACCCACAAAAACAGATTTAGTATGTTTTAAATGCATTTTAGATGAAAGGTTTAACAAAATTAAAGATACTTACAATTACATCAAATTTGGAATAAATATCTACGACTTTCCCTAAAAATGAAAACATATGTTAGAAAAGTATCTTAGGAACAAAAAAATTACATTTAAAATCTATCTTTACTAGGCCATAATTAAGAATTACATATTGCCAAATAGAATTAGCGTGCCAGTTTTTAAATGAACATGAGATCCTGTATTAATGGCAAGTGTGAAAATCTGCCAGTTTAAAGTTCCTATTATCTGGAGTGCGCCTCAGGCTGAATTTATTCACCGTGTCTGAAGGTGCATTCCCCCCACTGAGCTCGGTGCGAGGCCATCTGACAGCAACTTTACTGAGAGGGACAGTTTTCCTGTTTACAGCCAAACAGACCTGACTCGTCCACGACGGGCAAGGCGGACACGCGCCGCTCCACGAAGACGCTGAGGGCTTTGATGATGGGCGTGTCGGGGTGGATGAAGGCGATGTTGTGGTAGGTCCCGATGCCCAGGGCGTCCAGGTTCTGCTTCATGAAGGCGGGCTTTGGCATATCGGACAGCTGAACGGGAGGACAAGTGCAAACGCTCTAGACCCACACGGGCCTTCCTCCCGCTCACATAGCCACACGAATAAAAACTAGCGCGACAGATGCAAGCCAGGCTTTTCTAACAGTCTGAATCAATTGTCTTTTGCTCAAACCAGTTTAAGTCCAGTATCTTTAACTACTTAGTAAAATACTGCACAGTGCTGACAGTGCAACATTTCCCCCTCTCTGCCCACTGAGAAGAGGACAGGAAGGAACAACAGGTCTCTTGGGAAGTTAAGACCCAGAAGCCACCGAGAATCCTTATTGGTAAGTATCCACAGGAACCCCTGCTCCCGGGCCTCACTGGGGAGTACTTGTGAGAACCCACACATCTCTAAACCCACGTGTTTGATGGTGGCGGTCTGAGCTGTAAGCTCGTCCTCACACGGTCCGCCTCCACTCACCCCGGGCCTCTCCTTCGGAGGCCTCCGGTTTTTGTCTACTGGGAATGAAGGACAAGCCAACTGGACAGAATTAAAAACCCTTTAAAAAATTAACTTTTCTTTCTTTTTTTTCCACGGCTGTTTTAGAGGAGGAGGGAGAAGTCAGAACAGAGAAGTCTAGGGTCACATTTGATTAAAACAAAATAGGGTCTATGGTTTCAAAAGTCCACCTTTTAAACTGGGTATTGCTGATTCCATCCTCCTGGTGTACCTTATAATTATCGGGAAAGATGAACAATTAGAAGAAACAAAATGTTCAAGTCAAAGAGTTCATCAATATTCAAATCATGAGACTCCTAGAAATTTAGAGAGAAAAAAGAAAGCCCTATTAGGTCACCTAGCCCGTGGTGATGCAGGACAACCCCTGTTCCACACTGTGTGCCTAGGCTGGCGGCACCTGTCCCCGAGGGGAGCATCCCCTGCTCAGAAGACGAGCTCACACTTCAGTAAAAGTCAGATTTGGAAACCTCTCTAAAGTTCTGTATTTTGATCAGAAAACCTCTAGCTGGTCAGCTATTCCACTAGCATGGCTCTCAGTACCATATTGGCCCAAATCCGAGGCAGTAGCAGGGGGGAAGCCTCCTCTAGGTTTATAGAGAAAACACCACAGGCCTGTCTCAAATGGCTGCTCCCTTCCCAAGGCAGCAAAGCCGGGGAAGGTGCCGGAACCCGACCATTTGGCCTCCGAGTCTCTCGCCTCCGAGTCACCCCCTCGGGGTGGGGGGGTGAGAGATGGGGGGAGAAGGGGCTGAGAAAGGCAGCTGGTCAGCCTGCCAGCAGTGAGATGGCAGCCACTAAGCCTCGCCGAGTCTCATCACTTATAAGTGGGATTGATAAAAAGACCTACCTGAGAGGGCGGTGGTGAGGGTAAGATTCACCACATGACCTGCTTGGGATAGTGCCCAACTTACTGTAAATGCTGAACAGTATTTAGCTCTTGGGATCAAAATTACTTTAAAATGCTGACTCGAAGGGGTAAATGGGGCTCGGGCCCACCCCGGTCCTGTGAAAGCTCATTGCTAAGGTGACTGCGTTCCCAGCTCATCTGATGTCAGGTCTGACCAACAGCACCTGCATGTCCCCAGTCCTTCCTGCCTGGATCACCTTTCTACCAAACCTCGCGCCTTTCTGTAAATGACGCTTCTCCTTCCTACCTTCTTCCTCAGCATTAATTTAAGCATGAGGAGTGTTATTTTTCCACGTAAACTATTCAAATGGGGACTGGCTTGGCGGACAGCAGTTTCTCCCAGTAACTACACGCTCAGTGCTCTGTCCCGCAGCGGTGGGCGGTGCTCCCCACGCCAGCACCCCTGCCATTGCCTTATTGAAGCAGGGGCTGAGGAATGGGAGAGCTCATCTGAGGCACATTGTTGGTGTCTAGTAACTTCTTAAAAAAAAAAAAAAAAAAAAAAAAGACTTCAAATGATCTCTTCTGAATGAATGACGCCACCTGTTGGTTCTAGTTGACCAATTACCTGTAACGTCAAATTCAGTGCTTGTGTCCTTAACAGGAAAAAAACCAAATTCAGTGCCAATCAATAAAAGGAAAAACTTAAAGCATCTTGTGAACACTCCGTCCCTCTGAGCTCTTTGAAACCCGCCGGACAAAGAGGGTCTAAGCTTTGTATGATTATGAAAAGCAGTTGAGAAAACTTAGAGATGACACAGCCCTAATTTGGACCAACATGGTATTCTCTCGCCAACATTTCACTGGCTTTGGGTGTTCCTCTCGCAGCTGCCATCAAGCTAATTCTGGGGACAGTACTTTCTGAATATATGTTTCCCAAGCCAGGATCCCGATAAAGCAGCGGAAGGCAATCTGTTATAAATATTGGCTCAATTTATTAGACTGACTTGCAAATTAGAATATTTTAGCTGATAAAATATTCTAATTTAAATAGAGAATTCCAAGTGTTTTATTACTTGGATTTTTTTTTAATTGGAATCAACTTTTGAGAATGTACAATTCAAACAGCAGTAAGTTGAGAAACTGAAGTTTAGAAACGGAGACCTCACAACTAACGACTTCTGCTACTGAGGGGGACAGGACCCAATTTACTTGAAGTAAATTAGCTATAAAGTAGATGCAGCTATGTCTTTAGAAACACTAAAAACTACTTACAAAAAGCTGGAGGAACTTGAGGATTCTTTTGTGGGTAAGTATATAAAGTGCATTCCCACTGATAGGGTCAATAACTGGCAATCTGTGGATTTTATTTTTGATCAACGAGTTTACAGCATCGAAGAGGCTGCGGGAAAAGCCATTAGAGTTGTTAGGAGGCTTTCAGGACAAATTAGAAAGCTCTGGACCACCCCTGCTTTCAAAGCATTTCCAGTGTTTTTATATTACAATCATAAGAGGTTGAATGACTTAAAACAGTGGTTTGGAAAAGTTTTAAACTGGAGATTTCGGTAAATATTCTGATTTTTCTTCACAATCTGTGTAAATACATCTAGTGTGAGCTACAGATCTCGGCGGTTTTCTGGAAGCACAGTTACTGCTTTTATCTGAGAAACGACAGGCACCAGCCCCTAGGAAAGCTAACGGGCATCACCAGCAGAGGCAGAGGCAGCGGCTGGGGGCAGGCCCAGGCCGCCGCTGGCCACTTCCTGCTGGGTCAGCCACTCTGGGCAGCCCTGGCCTCTCCTGTGACTGCCAACCAGGGAGGTCTGGTAGGTGTGTCATTGGAATTTGGAAAGAAAATACTAAAATCAACATTCCACTTTTTTTCTCGCTGGGGTTCTAGACTTAGAATGCTTTCAGATATGTGTGGAAATGTCCGAGGGCATCCCAGAGGGTTGGGGGGAAATGTAGGGGCTGGGAGACTCCGGAGAGGGCAGCCCTTCTTCCGCCACCTCAGGACCCAGGGCTGAGAGGCTGACTGTCCAGCTTCACAGCAGTCAGCACGCTGCCCACTCCCGGCAGCTCCCCAGAGGCCGGGGATCTGCGTCCTAATGAGCTGCCTCGGCGACTTCTGCTACCGGTGACATGGATTGTCAAACTGCTTCATATGACCAGCTCCTTAGTCCGGTGGTCAGCAAACTCATTAGTCAACAAAGCGGCAAACTGCCGCTAGCCAACCACTGCCCTAGTCCATTATCAATCCCTTGCATCAATAATAGCTGTGATTTTTATTATCTCTAGACTTACTGAATTTAATATTTGGAATTAAGGAGGCTGGCTCTTATCTAGATAAGAAAAATCTGTTAACCAATCATCGTAACAAAACAGATGGATCTGAGTGAATGTTTTCAAAGGAGAAAAACGGCCCAAGTTTACCTTGCATCTGGAGATATATTCACTAAAGGCTTAAATGTTTCTTGTAAATAAAGCTCTGTATTTACAGAAAGAAAAGATGTAATTAGTAACATACTGGCTGTCTGCAATGATTACATAAATTAAAATACTCTTCAATTTATAGATAATAATTAAAGGCCCAAATCACATGTCATGGGCTGAACACTACCCTGTTAATTACAGTTATGGCCATTTTAAGTAACTCTCACACTCGATGTTGCCTCTGTGGACAAGTTCAATGTTTAAAAGGATTACCAGAGATGCTGCAAACATGAGAAGCCAAGGAACCTGATAAAAGCGATGCCAGCAGAGGGCACTAGATGCTGCCATGTCCCTGCCACCCTCAGGAGCGGAGGCATGAGCGAACTCCTTTAGAACTAATTCTCCCGAGTTAAAAAATAAAAGCTGCAGCAGGCTTAGTTCCCAAAATGTCATTAAGTTGGCTTTTACCAAACTAGTGCTCAAAATTCACTGCATCCCAGGGAATCTCTCCAGTGTAGAAATTATCTTTGAGAAGGTCAACGAACTTACTGAGATTTCTATACAGAAGGCATTCCAGGATGTGCTGGCATTGCTATTAGTGCTGACTAACCATGTAATGTTAAAATGTGAATATACTTAACCCTGGCCTAAGATGACTTACACAGGAGAGTCTGACAAGAAGTAACTGTCTTGGTGGTGCTATATGCACTTTCACATCATAACAGGCAGTGCTAAGACATGGACCCATGCTGGCTTTGTTTGGTTTGAGTTGATAATACCATTATCAAACCTACCATGCAATGGAACTTCTAAATCACATGGAATTAACAGTCCCCTAGCCCTTTAGAGAATTCCAATGGATGTTCACATTTCACAGCGAGGCACAAGGCTGCTTATCATAGCAAGCGGACTATGGGAAGTACAAAGCGAAATTTCAATTTTAAATTAAAAAATTTCCTTCAACTGGTCCCTCCATTTTTCTCTAGGTCCCGTCCCCCCACCCTGCCCCCAAGACTCCCTGCTCAGTGACTCCCACCAGCCCTTTATCTATGGCATTCCTGCTGACAGTCCGTGGCCGCCCACCTCCGCTCCAATCCAGCGTGATGCATCTTGCTGACACAGAACAGTTTCACAATTGTGCAATGTGAAATGGCCCCATTTCAGAAAGGGTACGGTGATCACAGAGGGTGAATTTCAATGTTACAAACAAAACGAAGCAATCGGGACATTACTTTCATGTTATCTGATCCCAATCATCTAGTTTAAGGTTCACTTGTTCTATGTTTCTTCATAATTGGTAAAGAAATAATTATTAACTTTAAAAAAGAACAGATCCTTGCTCTTGTTAATCTTGGGCATTCCTTTGGTGCATTTTCCATACAAAGGCAGTTTTTTGGGGAGTAATACTTGGTGCTGAAATGGTGGCTCCCCTGAGGGCAGAGATGTGGGCGCTGCTTAGCTTACTCATCTTCACATTCCTGAGCTTGGTATAAAGACCTGCTACAGGCTCTCAATTTCTATTAAACAGAATGGGTAATATATACAGTAGGATGGCATACTATCAAAACTAAGATATAAATAAATGTTTTAATTAATGCAATTTATGTTATCAGTAAGCAGAGAGCAAAGGGTCTCTGAAATTAAAACATTTTATATACGAAGTAAAACATGTTTCCTGATAGTAAAATATTTTAAATACCCCACAGTACTTACCCCTCCATGTTTCAATCTTATGTTCCTCTAATTCATAAATCTGTACCTGAAAATAAAAAAAATTCTTATTTACAAAAGTTAATGTAATGTAAGAAATATTTCATGGCTATTGCTGAATCCTATAATTCAGCAGATGCAAACAAGATAATTCAATACTGGAAATATAAGTTAGAAAGAAAATGCTCTACAATTCTCTGAAGATAAATGTTTTGTCAATTTAAAACACAATAAACAAATCTATTTTCATTAACTAATTTGAAAATTTCTGATATACTTTAATTTTAAAGCACACATAAACATATATACTCAATCCTTTCTGAGACAACAGAAGATCTTTAGCATCTCTAACTTAAAAAGAAAAAACAGCCAAAGCCGGTTTGGCTCAGTGGATGGAGCACTGGCCTACAGACTGAAGGGTTCCACGTTCGATTCTGGTCAAGGGCATGTACCTTGGTTGCGGGCACATCCCCAGTGGGGGGTATGCAGGAGGCAGTTGATCAATGTTTCTCTCCTCTCTCATCAATGTTTCTAGCTCTCTAGCTCTCTCTCTTCCTCTCTGTAAAAAAAAACAATAAAAATATATTTTTTTAAAAAGAAAGAAAAAACAACACATTTGAAAAACCCTTACACAACAATAGTCTCAGTTGACCCACTGTAATCCCCAAAGGAAGGAGGGGACAGTAAAATATTTGAAGAAACAGTATCTAAGAGAATGGAGAAAAAGAATATAATTTCAGTAGATAGAGAGGAAGCCTGTGACACAACTCAACATTCATTCATGATAAAAATAAACTTTCGTTAAACCTGGAAAAGGAATGTCCTCAACATGGTAACAGGCATCTATGAAAAAACTATAGCTAACATCACACTTAACAGTGAGATACAGAACGCTTTCCCTCTAAGATGGGGAGCAGGGAATGAGGCCTGCTGTCACGTCTTCAATGCTCTACAGGAAGTGCTAGCCAATGACATAAAGCAAGGGAAGCGCCATGCTCACAGACTGCAATACTCTACATTGCTAAGATGCCAATTCTCCCTAACTTCATCTACAGACTCTCAGTGATACCAGCAGGCTGGGCTTTTTTGTTTTTGTGTGTATGTGTGTGTATGGATCTTCACCTAAGGATATGTTTTTTACTGATTCTAGAGAGCGGAGAAGTGGGTGAAGGGAGAGAGAGAAACACTGATATGAGAGAAAAACATTGATCGGTTGCCTCGTGTACATGTCCCGATGGGAATGGGGCTGCAACACTATGTCACACTGGCCAGGGCCCATCAGGCTTTTTATTTAAGTCACCAAGAGACTGTGGCACAAGAGATAGACAAGCAGAACAATGGAACAAAATAGAGTGTAGCAACAGATGCATACTTAAGGCAGTAAAACAATTTTGTGACAAAAAGAAAGGCTTTTCAATATGGCACAACTGACAGTATTTGCAGACATTATTATGTGCATAGAAAAAATCCTGACAAATGTACAAAAAGGCTCCTAGAACTAATAAGTGAATCTTATGGGATAAAAGGTCAATATATAAAAATCAATTGTGTTTTGTATACTAATGATGAGTACTTGGAAAATGAAATAAAACACAGTTTTCACAATAGCATTTTCCGTCCATAATTAGAAAATGAGGTGAAATGTGGAGAAAAAATGTCTCAAGTATTAGCTGCACTTAATAAAAATCTATCCACTTACTAATCATATGCTGTGATTTTACTAGTCTACAAACGGAGAGATGAACATTATAAGGAAGAATCAGTATTTTCCTGCATTAATAGTATTTAAGAAATCAGATCTAGTATGTGAGATAAATATAAAATAACTACACAGTCTTTGGCAAATTTTCCTTCTAAGAGTATGTCCTATGAAGAAACTTATTTTCCCATTTTATGAAGGAATTTAGTGAGCAATATTGACTACTACATGTAAAAACGGTATTAATTGGATTGTCTTTTACCCAAAATAGTACTAGTTAAAGAAACAAAGTATATAGTTCTGTTCTTTCCCACCTGTGCAAACAAAAACAACCTCCATCATATAATTTCACTTATATGTGTAATCTAACGAACTCAATAAACTAACAAATACAACAGAAACAGACTCAGAGGTACGAGAACAGACCGAGAGGGGGTTGGGAGGCTGGGTGAAAAAGGTGAAGGGACTAACCAAACAAACAAAAACCCACAGACCCTGACAATGTGGTGGTTACCAGAGGAAAAGGGGGTGAAGGGAGGTAGAAGAGAGTGAAGGAGGGAAATGGTGACGGAGGGAGACTTGATGTGGGGAACATATAACACAATATACAGATGGTGTATTGCAGAAACCTATAATTCTATTAACCAATGTCACCCCAATCAATTCAGTTTTTAAAAAAGAAAAACAACAAAAACACACAACCCCTCCCCCAAGACAACAAAAACCAAACAAGCTGGTAGAATCACGCAGTCAGAGTGTTACAGACCATACATGGGGTTCTCACTCCTCTCACAGAACAGCGGGCGCCCCTGCAGTCTTTTTTTAACTGGCAGGAAAATGTCAGTTAAATGTCTTCCGTTTTAATTTTTACTTCTTAAAGCACAGATACATAGAGTCTTGTTGTAGAATTTTGGGGTAAGTACATGAAGCTGTACTCCCACCAACAGGCCATGCAGTAGCCCTGTGGTACTCTCCTCTCAGAGAGAAGACGGCCACTGGACAGGAGTGGTGCCGGGGCCGCCTTCACTCATGGTCCAGGCTGCGTCTCTCCCTGACAAGGTGCCCATAATGCAGCCCCAGCCACACATTCAGTGAAAGCCACAGAACATCTAGGCAACAAGGACACACATGGAAGCCGCTTCCCGGAATTCCTGAAAACTGAGTAAAGACGAGATTGTCTTTCATTTTCCCGAGGCTTCCTCCTTCAGGCTCCAAATATGTGACTGATTTACACAGCGTTCCCTGCACATCATATGTATTTGGAAAAATCAACCACCAGCATCAGCCCTGTACCAATCCCCAACCCCCAACCTCCCCCTCCCCCCACCCCGCCAAATCTTAAAAGCATACACAACCAACCCCTATCCACATGCATAGACCACAGCTCCAATCAGACAAGGGTTCTGGTACTTACCATGGGTGATTTATAATATCTATGTAGTATATTTATGAAATCTGTAATTGTTAGCATTCCTGGAACAAAGAATTGTATGTTAAATGGGAAACGATTAAAACACAAAGAAACTGCAAATGACGGGCAAACCTGGAATAGTTACTAGAACAGCTTCTAAAGTACACGTATCAAGCACAGTTTAATATATTATTTAAAGCTATTAATCTGTTAATTATCTACAGTGAACTAAGATACAAAAATTTGGCTGAAATTTAACCTGACAGTAACTGGAATTAATCACAGTACTTGGCAAGTCAAGGAGAGAAAAATTAATGATTGTTACAGAACATCACAAAAGACTTGCAGTGACATGCAAATAATTCTAAACACTTTAGAACAAGATCAAGCATTCCAGCAGGACACTGCTGGGCACTAGATTGTACAGGCAGGGACACCACTGTCTGCCATGGCTCCCAGGATGTGGAGTTTTGCAGGTTAGAGAGCGTAAGTCACACCGTGTTTTAATGGTATAGCAATGATTGGAGAAGGCATGGACCACTTTTATGCTTCCTTTGCCCTATCAGGAGGTGTTCACCCTGGAGGAAGCCAGGAGGGGCCACAGGTGAGTGACCGTGAGCACAGGTGGCTGACAGACAGAGAGACGCCTGACCTCAGCCTCCCCTTCACACTCTGGTCCCTGGGCTCACAGGGACTAGCACACACGATCCCACGGGGACAATAGGGTGCTGAATCAAAGGAAACTCAATCAAAGTAGGGAAGTGATTTTGAATGACTAGCGGCCCTCCCTTACCCGGATGTAAAAGCAAGAATGTTCTTTAGTTTGGTAACTGGAATTTACTAGAGTGAATTCCAATCAGCATCCATTAAAATGCCTTGGGCTTTCTGCTTTGTTGCAGATTTTCTTGGGGTGGGGGAACTGCTCACCTACAAAACTCTGTTTCTTACTTTCCCACAGCGGCGCTGCTCGGACACCATTGGCTACTAAGGCAAAGAAGGCCTTCTTAACCTGTGGACAAATACGAGAAACAACACATGCTTTTAAGCTCCAGGTTAGGAAGAAAAATACCGACAATAAAAATATTCAACCAGATTGTATTACTTATCTTCAACATTAATTTTTCTAAGTTTGAAAAACAAGAAAGAACCGAATTTATCAATATTAGCAAAAACGCTTTTGTATTATATTTGAAGGCAGATAGGTGTTGGAGATTATTTTTTTGAAAATGAAACAATTAACTTCAAACTATTTTTTTCTTATTGCATCTAAAGTCTGGATTGCGAGAGGGTGCAGGCCAGGTTGAGGGACCCCATCGCTGCACGAATCCATGCACTGGGTCTCCAACATCCCCTGATGGGTCTGGGGTGTGGGTGAAGCAGATTCAGGGCCAATAGTGCCCCAGCAGCAACCTAACCCATGGCCAATTCGGCGAAAAATCAGGCTCCCACCTCTACTGATCAGAGCATCTGCCCCTTGGTGGTCATTGCACATCATAGCTACCAGGCTTTTTACACACACACACACACACACACACACACACACACACACACACACACGATGCTCCTTCAAGTTCAAATGGACTAATCTTCCACTCTACCGATTAAAACCAATTCATCTTAACTTTTTTTTTTTTTTAAAGATTTTTAAAAAAAAATATATTTTTATTGATTTTTTTACAGAGAGGAGGAGAGAGGGATAGCTAGAAACGTCGATGAGAGAGAAACATCAACCAGCTGCCTCTTGCACACCCCCCACTGGGGATGTGCCCGCAACCAATGTACATGCCCTTGACCGGAATCGAACCTGGGACCTTTCAGCCCGCAGACCGACGCTCTACCACTGAGCCAAACCGGTTTCGGCTCACCTTAACTTTTGACTCCACAACAAAACCTGCCCACACCACTGCAGTGGAAGCTGAGACCCCTCCCCTGCCTCCAGGGTATCTAATCAACCCTCTTTCTGAGCTGTGGAGTGTCCCTTAGGCTTAAAAGCGGCAGAGTAAAAGTACTCTGACCACTTTCCCCCTGGAAAGTTATCCCCAAACTGCACGGAGGACAGACTAGAAGCAGAATAAACAAGGAGATCATCAGGACACAAAGCAGATGGAGAGGCGAGTCGCAAGAGGGAGAGGAGAGCCTTGCTGGGAGGGACGGGGAGCCTGGTGTCGGGAGAAGCAGTCTGATCTCTCCCGGACACAGAACACCACGCCTGGAGGCTCTGGATGGGCCCCCAGGAGCGGGGACAGGTCTCAAATCAAACAGGATGACTTTCAAATCTGGTCACACCGCAGCCCCTGGCATCACCATCCAAAGGCTATTTTCTGGAGAAACTGCTCCAGAAACATACTGACAGGAACACCCGGGGGCCTGCTCCTCCTCTTCCGTGGAACCACGAGCGAGGAGCCAGCCTGCGACGAAGCGCCTCCTCACACTGTTGGCGCCCACTTGGTCACACCACCTTGAACGCTTCACACAGTGCAGGCCAGCAGTTCCATGGCTGGCTTCACCCAGTGACCGAGTATGTTCCTACTGAACGAGCACAAAATACGTTGTACATTAAAATTAAACACCCATTGCATTTTGAAGTCATTTATCACATGTTCTTACAAGCTAATGTCTTTTTCTTTTTTTTTTTTAGAATGAATACAAATTTATTTTATTTTTTCGTGTTTTTTTTTTTTTTAATCAATCTTTATTGTTCAGAATATTACAAAGGTTCCTCATTTCTTCCCCCCTCCACCAGGTTCCCACCCCACCCTCCACCCCCTCCCCATCCCCCATTGTCCTCATCCATAGGTGCACAGTTTATGTTCAGTCTCTTCTTCCCTCCCTTTCCCCGATAGTAAATCCCTTTTCAGATAGTAAATCAGTTACTTAGCATTTTCTCATATCAATAATACCTCCACATGCCCAATGATACACTTCACACAAAAGACATTTCCCAATAGGTCAACTAGCCTCATCCAGGCCCCACCCAAGGCACTCACAGATCAACACCCCAGCCCTATACTAACTCAACACATCCAGATCTAAGCCTTCATCACTTGATTCAGCAGACCCTCAAGTTCCCACGAAAGTTTCCAGCCATGTCTGAGAGGCAGCCGTGGGGCAGGCGAGGAGCAGGCGAGGAGCGAGCTGTTCTGGGCCTGGCTGCTCAGGGCCTGGCCTCTGTTGCTCTGGTTCGTTCCACAACCAGCTGCTCCAGGTCTGGTCACTGCTGCTCCTGACCTAGTTGCTCTGGACTTGGCTGCTGCTGCTCCGGGCCTGGCCGCTCCCAGCCTGGCAGCCGCTGCTCCGGGCCTGGCCGCACCCGACCCGCCTGCTCCCCCGGGCCTGGCCGCTCCCAGCCTGGCAGCCGCTGCTCCGGGCCTGGCCGCACCCGACCCGGCTGCTCTGGGCCCAGCTGCCCCGGGCCTGGCCACTCCGAGCCTGGCCACTCCTGGCCTGGATGCTCTGGGCTTGGCTACTGCTGTTCTGGGTCTGGATGCTCCCAACCCGGCTGCTCTGGGCCCGGCTGCTCTGGACTCCGGGTCTGGGTGTTCCTGGACTGGCCACCCTGGGCTTGGCCGCCTGCGCCTCAGGCCTGGCTGCCACTGCCCCAGGTCTGGCTGCTCCAGTGCTGGCTGTTGATGCTCTGGTTCTGGCTGCTGCTGCTCTGGGGCCTGGCTGTTGCTGCTCCGGGCCTGGCTGCTACTGCCTTGTGCCTGGCCACTCTAGGCCTGGCCGCCGCTGTTCCAACATTCTGTCCTTTTTTTTCTTTTTCTTAAATGCATTTATGTTGCAATGTTGGCTGGTGAGTTGAGTTCTGACTTAGTTTTTGATTTTTCAAGAACTTCTTTGTATTCTTTCTTAAGTAATTTTACTATCTTTTGCTCTCACTTGATTTCTTCACATTGAGAACTTCTTTGGTTTCTTCCTCCTTGTCCTGGGAGCTCAGCAGGTTGGCCTGTGGCACCCCTTTGTTCTCCGCGGGCTCCTGCGCTGCTTTAGCCTGTTGCCGGGGACAGCGCTGCCCAGGAAGCAGCCCCCCTGGCCTTGGCTCCATTGCCCGCGCTCAGCGGTCGAAGGCTCAGGGGCACTCCCCCCCCCCCCAGGGGCCCTGTTGCCCGGCTCCTTGCTGGTGCCCAGTTGGCCGGCTTCCGGCAGGGGCTCTAGCTCCCGGCCGTGTTCCCCCAGCCCAGAGCTTTTTTTCTCCTTCACGCTAGGGGAGTCCAGCATCAGAGTCAACAGACTGTCCTCTGCGCGCAGTGTGCGTGAGTCCGGGGGCCCGGCCTTTTGCCGCTCTCCCCGGACTCCACCTCACAGCCCCATCTCCCTCTGCCTGAGCCTGGGTCCCCAGGGATTGGCCCAGAACTGGGGTTTGGAGCAGTCCGGACTGAGGCTCAGCACCGCCGGAGGCCTTGTTTCTTCCGGCTAGGGTAACCCAGCATCAGAGTCAACATTCAGTCCTCTGCGCGCGCACTGCGCGCGACTCCAGGGGCCCTGCTTTTCGCCGCTCTTCTGGGATTCCGCCTCACAGCCCTATCTCCCCCTGTCGGAGCCTGGGTCCCCAGGGTCTGGCCCATAACTGGGGCTCAGCGCTGCCGGTTCGGGGGGCTCAGCGCTGCCGGTTCGGGGGTTCAGCCCAGGCTGGGGGTTTTATTTCCTTCCTATTAGGGAACGCCAGGCAGCACCCAGCCCTTTCCTCCTCTCCGGCTGCGACCTCTCCGCGCGCATGTGTGGGCGGGCGCGCAGCATGTCTCCGTACCTTAGGCTTTTTTTCAGCTCCTCTGATTTTCCTTCTGGTTTTCTCTTTCCTTCTTGTTGTAGAATTTTCAGTCAGTCGACTACCTGTAGCTCTGGGCAATGTCCACTCTACATTTTAGTTGTATTCCATTGAAATTGTTGTGTGCTGCCGCGGTTAGATGTCTACCCGAGCAGCCATCTTGGATCTCTCGCTAATGTCTTTTTAAAGAAGTCTTGTGATTGGCCACAGCCTTAGAGTACAAGAATTCTTATGATCCGTCAGCTATTTTCCTGGTTTCAAGTCATTTGTTAACCAGATGGCCCTACAGTAAAAGAATCCTGTGGGGTCTGACAGGTGCCTGAGCCCGGGTCCCGGGAGGCAGAGCCTAGCCTGCACAGTTTGTTGGGAACATGATTCCAGGGCGAGGCGTGGAGAGTGGGAAGGCTGTAATAGGCCAGTAGGTGGGTCAGGATGGGGTAACTGCAAGTGTGGGCAGACTGACACTCTCTACATTCGGATCTTCTCAGGACTGCCCATTCTGAGGGTGCCAGGGAGCAATTATCCACTGACTTGTGTCCTCCATTGGAGAGGGAAGCCGGAGGCGCCTGTGCGAGGCTAAGGCTGGTGGCGGATGGAGGAACAGGTGATGGAAATGGACCACAAGAGGCCCTGATACGACCAGAAACCTCAATCCAGGCTGGTGGAGGTTTAATCAACATCCTCTTCAGGTCCAGGTGAGTGTTAATGCACTCCCTGAGCTGCAGAGTCTGCCTCTCCTCACTGGGACATCACACAGGCCCTGCAGCTGCCAGCAGAAGCCCAGATGTGCCTGGTACGGCCACAAGGTTCATCTTCCGGGACCTTTGCTTTCTGTAAGTGTGCTGGAGGCTAATTCCAGCATGTCATAAATACAAGAAGTTTCATCAAAAGGCTGATGGAACCTTGAGGCTTTAGCAGGGCTGAAGATACACACTATTGCCCGTTGGAATGGCCAAAGGCATTTCCCCACACCTAAAGATAAGCATATATTACTACCTGTTACCAGACAACTGAGGGCATTTTAATCTACATGCTATTGCCTTCTGCTGGCCAAACACACCTGAACAGCTGAAAGCAGTTCCCCCCAAATTGGCTATGCCTCTGTATACTAAACTTTAACCTTTGATATGTACATCTATCTTGCTTTGGGACAAATTGTGTTAAGAGAGAGGGGTCTGGAGATTCAGGAGAACTTGGTTCCTATAACTAAGCTCCTCTGGCTCCCCTATGGATTACAAATCTACACTAATAAAAGAGAAATATGCAAATTGACCATCACTTCCCAACTCTCCCCAGCCAATCAGGAGTATGCAAATTAACCCTGGGTCCTGGGTGCCGGAGGAAAACTAGTGCCGGCAGCCAGGGGAAGAAAGGCCTATTGCCTGAATCTTCATGCAACGGGCCTCTAGTTTATATTTCTAGTCTCTTTATTAACTTACGCTGCAGCACCTTCTCCAGGTGCCGGGAAATAGCCCCTGGCATTACAATGCATGACAGCTTCCCAGAGATGAATGCTGCTTCTATTTTTTGTTAATTACCCATTCAAACATCTTTCCTGGGACTGAGCATTCTCCACAATTCCTCTCGTGTTGTAAGAGTGTGGCAGTCCACCCTCATTATACTACGACCTGACTCATCTGAGCCTGATTCATGCAGACGGGTGCCCTCCTGCGATCTATGCAGCGATCTCAGGCTTTTATTTCCCCTAATCATCATTTGTTAGACTTTTTCCACTTTGAAGATCATTTTCTTTGAAAATTAGGAAGTACACCAGGAGCTGAAGAGGGTCACTTCCTCTTTGTTGCCACCTGTGGCCAGAGTTTTGAGCAGCAGGCCAGCCCTGCCCTTCCTCCCAGCTTTTAAAATATGCAACTCCCCCCCCCCCATGGGTGTTATCAATCCCAACTGAAATCAGCCGCAGCCCTGCCGTCATCCCTTCTCTGACTCACTTTGGATGTTCTTCATCCTATATTTTTTACATTTTCTTCTAAAAACGTGTGCTTGGCAAACAGTCAATGATTCTGATACTTGCTTGTTTTCCCTGTCATTGGCGTAATTAACAATAATATTAACTGGAATAATTTGAACAAGAAAATATAGTAGTGTACATCTCCACGCACCTACACTGCTATAAATGACTGAATATATAAAGCAGGGGTGGAGGGCCAGACAAATGCCTTGCAGAAAAATGGCACTCACTCAGGCAGACATTCTGCCCGCCCCTAAGCTCCCATTAAACTGCTCTGTGACTGCGCCCTCCTGAGGGACTTCGGGGAACTGTCCACTCGATCACTGGGCCAACTGCAGCGGCCTCCGGTGTGGCGTCTCGGGGACCGGCTGCTGTTGCGGAGACACTCTGTCTCTCAGGCCCCAAGCGGTCTGCGTGGACCTGGCAGGGCCGCTGTCGGTGACACTGCTCACGGGATCTGACGCGCAGGAGGCAGCAACACCTCAGGTGCCTCATGAGACACCTGCCACCCGAGGGGGAGGCGCTGGCTGGAGCGTGACAGCCTCTGGAAAGTCTGCACACGGCCTGTGGGCCACTCACCCGGGCTTTTGGAAGCAACACGCACTGACCTGAGCGGCTGCTCTGACACATTTACCGACGAGCCCGCTGTCTCCGAGGGGACCAGAGAGGAGCATCCTGCTGCAAGTGCAGGCTCCTGGGCCACGGCCCAGGACCGGCAGAGGCACAGCCAGGGATACGTGTCAGGCACCAACAGGGGACCCACAGAGCAGATGCTAGAGATTTGTGTGTGTGTGGGGGGGAGGATGGTGGAAACCCTGTCTTTTTCTGCAGATTATTTCTTTTCCTTCTGAGAAATGGTTCCTGGCTTCCCACTGGGCCCTGGTAGAGACCGAACAACGAATAAGGAAATGCCAAGGGACCCTGCAGCCCGAGTGTCCCCATAAATAGGGTGTTATCTGGCCCGTCCGGCCACAGCTGGCCATGGTCAGGTGCCGCGTGAGGGACACGGGCGGAGAGCGAGGAGCTGCCCCGGCCACGCCTCCTGCTCCTGCGCTGGTGCCAGCGGCGTCACCGCCTGTCCCCGGCCACACCGGAGCCTGGGTGGGAGGGACTCCTGGGAGCCGCTGGCCTCTGGACGCTCCTCAGGGCAGGCTGGCCTGCGTTTTTCACGTATTACTCACTTTGGCTAAGTTCTAAATTCGGGAGAAAGAGTTTCCTGGCGAGGGAGAAGCTGAGTGAGAGCGGACTCAGGCCGTGTGCCTGTCACTCTTCTGGTGGCAGGAAACCGGGGTCAGGCCCGGATCCTCGGAGAAGGGAGCCTTTGGGGAGCTGGGCCGACCCAGCGGTCCGGCTGGGGAATTCAGCCTTTCTAGTTCTTGGCCTCCTGGAATCTGCAGGTTCAGTGCTAGAGACCACACTTCCAGAGCTACTCTAATAGTGTCTGCAGCTTCCCTCTCCTCTTCAAGGTAGAGGGTCCTTAAAGAGTCCCTGGTAAGTGAATTTAGCAAAACTGTAAGCATAAATCGGGTCGATTTACAAAAACCAGTTCTGTTTCTATATGCTAATAAAAACCAGCCGGGAAATAAAATGCAATGAGCACAGGCCGGTTTTTACATTCCCGAGGAATGCAGCAGAGGGGCCCCAGAGCCCGGTGTGCTCTGAAGACGACCCGGGGTGGGCGAGCCGCTGAGAGTGACACAGGCTGGCGGGGCGGGCTGGCGAGGTCCCAGAGCACAGGGCAGAGCGGGCAGAGTGGGCAGAGCCTGGGCACACCGCTCCCAGGACAGCCAGGACACCTGGCTTCCCCCTCCGCCTGCTGCCTCGGTCAGTGCAGCGCCCTCCGGGGCCTCTGTCTGAGTCTGACCGCAGGGCTTCCGCCCTCTGCGGCTCCAGCCCCTTCGGGAATCTCCGGGGAAGGACCCTCATAAAGTGCGATTCCCGGGAAGTTCTGGCTCTGCCGCTACAACAGAAGACAACCCTTCTCGGCAAAGATGGGCCACAGAGCCGCTAAACGCAGACATGTATGTATGGAGACACTATTTCACTGAACGAATTATTTAGCACTTTTCAATAGTCATATTGGTATAAAAGGAGCTGTAAAAAGCACAGTTTTAATACCAAAATGGACATGTTTACATTTTCTGCTAAAAGAGATCAATAGCCGAAACCGGTTTGGCTCAATGGATAAGAGCGTTGGCTTGGGGACTGAAGGGTCCTGGGTTCGATTCTGGTCAAGGGCATGTACCTTGGTTGCAGGCACATCCCAGTAGGAGGTGTGCAAGAGGCAGCTTATCGATGACTCTCTCTCATTGATGTTTCTGACTCTCTATCTCTCTCCCTTCCTCTCTGTACAAAATCAATAAAAAAATATATTTTAAAAAAATAAAAAATAAAAGAGATCAATAAAGTTCTCAGGAGATTATCCACTATAGTATTTTTTTTTTCATCTGTATTATTTCAAATGAACTGGTGACATATTCTCCTAAAAAACAAAACACCTGCACACACCGAGGGAAGTGTGCACACCACAGAGACTGCGGCAGACCCCATCCCATCCACTCTGTGGGCCAAGATCTTAAATCCTAAATCTCTGGTGTCAGTCGGTGAGTTGAGCTCTTTAACTCAGAACCTGAGCTCCCTTCTCTGCAGGAAGAGGACAGCGGCAGCACGTTCCCGTAAGGCTGCCGTGAGGATGGGAGCTCAGACCAAACCCCTGCACAGCGCCCGGAGCGCGGGGAGGCCCCGGAATGAAATGACTCCCCGAGGTCGCCGCCCCAACACCACACCACGTCATGGAAACCGGCAATTACCTGTAACGTAGTATCGAAGACCACGAGCTTGGAGCTGGTTGGGACGATGTCGTAACACTTGTGTGACCTCATGAATCGCATGTAAACGCCACTTTCTGAGTCTTCTGCTAAGAAGGAACGAAAAAAGGGCAAATATCAGCGATAACAAAGACTCCCATGCAGAGTCAGCATGGAAACCTACTGCTGATGGACTTGGGGGAAAGCATGGTGTTGTCCCTGTGCGGGTCCCGGGAAGACACGGATGTTCACTCGGCCAGCGCCACGCCGGGTCGGACGGCCTCACAGCCACACGAAGACAAGAAAAGCACAAAGCGCGCGGACTGAAAAGGAAAAAGCAAAACTGCTTTCATTCGCAGTCTCTCTGATTTTCTACAGAGAAAATATCAAAGACCCTACAGAAAAATTCCCAGATATTTAATAAAAAGAGTTCAGCAAAGTCACAGGAGGCAGAGTTCATAAACAAAGAACACGCTACCTATCATATTTCTACACACTGGCAGTGAACAACTGAAAATTAATTTCACCTCACACACGAGTACTGTTTATGAAAAAGTCATATGGAAATATGGCCCCCACAAAAGCACTGGAAACCGTGGACAAATGTACATCTTTCTTATCGAGTCACTGTACAGCCACCGTCCGCCCCAAACATCCCGATGCCAGCCTTCCCCACACGCCACCCCACGCTGGACGCCGCCAGCCGCACACCTCGCCTATCAGCTCTGGTCGCCCACGTTTAAAATCAGACTTGTTGGTGACACCTCTGGGTTTGTAAAGAAAATTTGCCAATATTGCAGTGCATATGGGAATGGTTTCCGTTTTGGATGCGTGGCAGTTAACTGGCAAAAGTTAGGTCACTGCTGACAAAAGGGACGCCAGCGCACTGTGGGGTTTACGGCAGGTTTATTAGTGAAGTGAGTGGACCGCACCCGGCCAGTGATACAGCAACCCAGGCAGCATCCTCGTTACATCCTCCTTCCCTTCACCAACTTATCACCCAAATCTCAATCTCTCTCTTTTATAAATCCTAACCCGAGGATACTTTCCATTGATTTTTAGAGAGAGTGGAAGAGGGAGGGGAAGACAGAAACCGACGGGAGAGAAACACATTGATTGGTTGCCTCCAACACATGCCCAGACCCAGGTTGGGGAGGAACCTGCAACCCAACCGAGGTACTGCCCTTGACCAGAACCGAACGCGGGACCTTTTGATCCATAGGTTCTATCCACTGAGCCACATCAGCCAGGGCTATCGCACAATCCTTCCTTAAATCCATCTGTTCCTCTACCTCCATGGCCACTGCGCTCAGCCTGATAGAAATACCCTGACTTCCTAACTGGTCTCTGCTTTCTACTGTGTTCCCCCACCCCGGTCCATGCAGGGTGGGAAGACTGAGATGGCCACGTAAAACCAACCCCAGTTCCTTGGCTGGAAGGACCCATGTTGTTCTTCCATTTCCTACATGGGAAACGGTGCATACTGACTGTTTGCCAACTTCATGTCAACTACGTGGACCTCTGCCACGCCCATTCCCAGTTCTGACCTCCCTTTTGGGCACTAGCACCCTAACCACTTGATTCCCAGCAGCCCCTGGGCAGGCCCCTCCTCACCCGTCTCCCCTCCTGCTCGAGCATCGAGTCCCGCGTCTTGGGCCATGCCTGGGAGCCTCAGTGATCTGGCTTCCCCACGGCCCATCCCCAGGGCCAGGCCAACAGTGCCCTCCTGGGTCCCCTGCTGTTCGCAATCGCTCCATCTGCTTTAACTTAAATATCCTCTCTGCCGTTTATTCTTCAATTTCCTTTCCTGGATCTTACTCATCTAGCACATTAACTCAGTCAATTGTTATTTATTCACAGGGTCTTTGTATGCGCCCTCCCAAAGCGGACCCCAGGGCCGGGGGGAGGGGCTGGGGAAGGAAACAGACTGGGGCGTGTTGGTGAGCAGGTGGCAGCTCCGGGCAGTGAGGGTCCAGGCGGCGGGAGACCTGTCCCTCGGACTGTGCGTGGACTTCAGACTGTCCTGTCGTAAGAATCACGCCTGCCTGCTTTGGCTAGGAGGCTGCCATGGAATGGCCCAGGCAGAGATAACTGGATGAAATAGGAGAACTGGATGCAGGCAAGGCCTTGCTACCATCACTTCTGCTTCGCTAGAGGCCAGGTCCCCTCTGGCTGACGCCCAAATGGAGGAGACATCAACTGTTACAACAGCACCGTGGGCACGACTCAGGCAAGTACAGGGTTTATGCATGAACTAGGGGCCCAGAGCACAAATCTGTGCACGGGTGGGGTCCAGCCAGCTGCCCTGATGGGGGCTGATCGGGCTGGGCCAGGAGTGGGGTAGAGGTGGAGGGGGAGATGAGGGAAAAGGGACGTGGGAGATTGGTGGGGTGGGGGCTGATCAGGGCCTCGATTGTGCCGATTGGCCTCTGCAGTCCTCATCATAGTGACTGGTCGCTTGGCAGTTGGAAAATGGGCGATGAAGGTTCAGTTTGTGTGTTTCCATGTTCCCTGAAACACTGATCTATGGGAAAACGGGAGTCTTGCACGGGGAACTGAACCACAGCAGCTCTCAGGACAGCTGCTCAGACAGTCTGACCGTCTCTGCGCTGCGCCCCCATCGCAATGAGATGTGCCGTTTCCTTGCAGCCTGCTCAGCGGGGATTTCTCAGACACAGAGATCACTGCAGTCACGCATCCTCTTAGCTAGTGTTCAGGTTACACACTGCCGGCCAAATCCATATCCTGAAGTTCAAATGAATGAAATCAAGAGGAAAACTAACTATACAAAAACGTAATAATCCATCATCCAGAAAGGACACCTTAGTTCCTCTGTTGACTTTTGAAAAATATTTAAATAAACATTTTATGTTAAACAACTTTAGATTTAGAGAAAAGCTGTGATAATGAATCGGTTTCTGGTACACCCCACACCCCTCACCAGGTTCCCCCTGAAGTTAACATCTGATATTACTGTGGCACATTAATCACAACTAACGGACAACACTGACACGTTATTATTCGAGCTCACACTTTGTGGGATTTTCTTAATTTCCCTCACGCCCTTTATCTGATCCAGGGTCCCCAATGGGAGGGCATAGTCATCACCTCCTTGTTCCCCCAGATGGTCACAGCTGTCAGACCTTGTTTTTGATGACCTTAACTGTTCAGAAGGGTCCTGGGCACAGTCTGCAGCATGGATCTATGATCTCAACCTCGGGGCTGTGTGTTGGGAGGGAGACTACAGGTAAACACCCCTCCTCCCACTACATCCAGGGTGCATCTGCTGCCAACATGGCTCAGGGAGAAGCTGTCCCCACTGCACTCTCCCTCCTTCCATGAGGAGTTGTCTGCTGTCTGCCTCCGTGTGGACCCAGGACGTTATTCCCTCCCCTGAGCGGGAACCCAGCACTGCGTCAGGACTGGTCAGAGGCTGTGCGAACCCGACAGGGCATTCCCCTCCTCGTATGGTCTGGGTGTCCGCGTGGAGCCACTCCAGGTTCTTCCATGTCTGCCCTGGTTTTGGCTTCTCCCCCGTCTTCCCCGCTCATCCCTGCAGCCTCCACCTCAGTAGGGACCTGTCGGGGGCGGGTCCTCTGTGTGTGTGTCCTCAGGAAGAGAGTGGTGAGGGAGTGGGGCTCCTGAGTTCTTTCTGAGCATCCACCTGCTCCCACCAGCCCCCAACGGCGAGAGCCAGGTCTCCTCCATCACTGAAGGCTGACATTTGTTAGAAGTAATGGACCGGTAAAATAATAGCAGACTAATTATTAACAGAAATCCATTCATTTCTCAGATTTCCTTAGTGTTTAATCTCTCTGGGACAACACATGGCGTCCAGCAGCGTCTCCAGGACACGCCTCGTGGCTGAGCTGTTCTCGCAAGCCTCCCTGTGCGGTGGCCGGGGTCCTCGTGGAGGGCTGGCGGGTCCCGGGAGACCCCCTCGGCCTGGGGCTGATGTTTTTCTCAGGGTTAGATTGGAGTTTTGGGGCTTGAGGAGGTTGTACAATACTTTTCTTAGATGTGGAAAGCTTGGCTCAACAAAGCAAAAGCAAAATGTTAAATATGTAAAACAAATTACAACAAAATTTACTTTGGTTCTCCCTATGAATACATGGCTATTGATGTAATAAAACAACATCGGTAACCAAAGTGCCAACACTTAAGTTAGGAAGAGAAAGTGAACTGTTCTAAAATGTCAGTGCTTCTCCACACACAGCGTAGCTTCTGACGTTAGCTGGCTGCGTCTGTGTTGTTTACATTGTGTGGAGCCCTTGTGAGTCAAGGCTGGGGACACACACGTTCACTTGAGAGGCAAAAACACAGAAACAGTGAAAACTGGAGTGATCTGGAGTCCAGCCAAAAAGAAAAAACAACAAAACCTTTCAACAATAACAGGCTGTTTGGAATGCATTATAACATTCCTGAGCAGGCATGAAGTTCACGTTCTCATTATTCAGCAGGTAACTGGGGTTAAGATAGTATCACAACGTTCCATTCTTTGTTATTTTATAGTTCACTGGGTAGAAGCATAATTATAGAGTATTCTATTGGCACCTGAGTTACTGGTCCACCAGACACGGCTGTTTGTGGAATGACATGAAATCTCACTGCCCTTCCAATAATAATATGCTAATCCAACAGCATTGTTCAAGTACAGAGTGCTTTGAGAAGCAGAAAATATGAGCTAAAGTATTTAATTTGCAAAGGTTAACAAAACAATTTGAAAATGCCACACTTAAGTTTAAATGCAAGCAATTAATACACATGTTTCTTTCTAAAAGACAGATCTACATACCACCCTTGGCTCAATAATTCATGACAGGTCCCACTACTCTTCCCCACCCCCCAGCCCAACACACACACACACACACACACACACATCATTTCATGTTTCTAGAAATCGAACTCTAACCCATCACATCCCCTAGGACCCTTACCATCCATACTTCCTTTGGGAATGTGATTCTTGTTTCCGTGCTGCTTTGGCACGCTAGTCTCACCCTGAGAACGGTGCCTTCCCATCCCACTTGCTTTCCTGCAGTGGGATGAAGAGCTATCTCCTCCTGGCATGTCGGAAGGAGACCTTATTTGGAAAAGTAAGGATCTTGAG